GCAGTTATTTCCTCTCTTTAAGTTACATAACTACTAAAAGCAAAAAATAATGAGGAAAGTGCTGTTTTTGGAAGGACTAGTCAACATATTTCTCTTTCACATTAAAAACTTCAAGAATAATCATAAAAAGTTATAATATTTCCCTGTATTATTTTTGGCACTATAAGCTTTTCTTACTCAACTATAGCGTACAAGCAAAATTTGACAGGTACTTACTCTCTTAAAATATAAAAAGATACCATTTAGATAGTTAAGTTTTTTATATTTGGGAGATACCAACATACAATCAAATCAAAGTATATGTGACTTGGAAACCAGGAAAAAAATTAAAAATAAACAAAGCACCTATAACTGCATTTGCTTTGAATGTTGTTAGTAATATCCTATAGATTTATTACTCTAAGGGGTACATCCAGCACAAATCAAAGCAGGTTTTTTTTTTTTTTTTTTTTTAAAAACAACTGATTCCAGCAAGTACAATTAGGAAATAATTAACAAAATCTGATATGTGTATACACAAAGAACAGTCACATATCTTGGTATGAACTCTATTCCATATGCACCTTCTACGAGTCTTAAAAAGTATCAGTTTATATACTGGTCACCTTATCTGGTACATGCAAATAACAATTCATTTCCATCTAAGAACTAAGAATTCTGTAAATGTAAGGCCAAATCATAGTCCAACTGCCACAATTGCAATCACCTGTTCATCAGTCTGCGCCCAATAGCCTCAACCAACCAACTGTGCCATAAATCATTCTTTATAATTCTTTGGCTCATTTTAGTCTAGATTTAAAAGTAAAAATTACAAAAAATTATAAACCTCTTTTTTGTAAAAGTCAAACTCCCATCAAAGTTGTCAGCTTCACAGTGGTTCTCTAGCCTAGCTGCATATTAGCATCACCTGGGCAGCCAGGGCACCAGGGATTTCTAAAGCTCCCCAGGGGATTGTAGGGAGCAGCTAGGGTTGAGAGCCTTTGTGTGTGAGGGAACAGAACTCAACTATCAGCTGAATGCAGCTCTTCAATCTGAGGAACCTGGAATATTCCATAGAGACCACAAAAAAAAAAAAAAAACAAAAAAAAAAACCACACAGTTGCTTTTTATTCCTCCTGCAATTATAGCTTTTGTAGGTCAGTTTGTATTTTCTCACGTAGAGTCTGGCTGAAATGCAGGTTATGAGAAGCATATGCACAACCACAGAAAACAGCTTGCATCCAACTAGGTACCGCCTGCTGTGGATTTCAGAGTTTTACGCTAAGGTTATCAAGTTTATAAGGAGTTAGAATTAAAGTGCTGACAATCCTCTTTGTCTTGTGATAGGCATCACACCAACTCACATGAATATATCTCAGGATTCCCTAAAATAAAATTTCTTTTCTTTCAAGGTAGCTGACTCTTTGGTTTAGTTCACCTGTTTTATATCACTCAGTCTTGTTTTCTGAATATCTCTAATAGGCTGAAAACATCTGAATAAGTTCTAAAATCCCAAAACACAGCTGCCAAGAATTTTCATATTTTTTAAACCTCTTTTTGGGTCCTAGTTTTGGGGAACTGATAAAAAAAGGTGAACATTGATTACTTGGCCTATTAAATATTCTGAAATGAGTAATTCTTTAGGTTAAAAGAAGCTTCTAAAGCCATTCTCATGGCTTATATGTCAAAGGACATGTCAAAGGACTGTCATGTAGATGGGATGTTGAGGGCTAGGAGACTTGGTTGTAGAGGACTGAAAAACAGGCTAGACAGACCTGGAGTCAGACGGGGAAACATGCACACGAGGAACTCTAAATGTATCGAAGAAAAATTAGCAAATGCTGCTCAGAGTAACACAGTCGCAAATAAAGCTGATCACTGGATCACGTATTCAACAGGCCACAGCAATTTCTGTCCTGTCCTGAGTCCCTTCCCTCCTACTCAGGACCAGCTGGTGGCACGGTGGTTAAGAGTTCGGCTGCTAACCAAAAGGCTGGCAGTTCGAATCCACCATCCTTGGAAACCCTATGGGGCAGTTCTACTCTGTCCTATGGGGTCACTATGAGTCGGAATTGACTCATCGGCAATGGGTTTAGTGTTAAATGAAATTGTAAGGCCCCTTGTTAAAAAAATTATAAGAATTTCAAGATGGCGACAGCAGAGTATTCAACCAAGCACAGGGCTCTTCTGAGTGTGGGCCTGTGGGACAGCACGAATTGCACTCTCATGGCAATTGCTCTGATCCTCCATTTCAGAAAAGTGCTATCAACTCACGTACCATCATGCCTTCATTAAAGGCAAACGGGATGCCTCTCTGAGATCCTGGGTGATCTACTTGGTTAGTACACTTGGCTGCTAACTGAAAGGCTGGAAGTTCAAGTCTACCCAGAGATGCCTTGGAAGAATGGGCTGGTGATACACTTCCAAAATATCAGCCATTGAAAACCCTATTGGAGCACAGTTCTACTGTGACACACATGAGGTCACCATGAGTCAAAATCCACTCCATGGCAACTAGTTTGGTTTTTTTTTTTGCATGTATTTCTGACAAGCCAGAAATAATTCTGATATTATTTCATATTACAAGGACCAAATAAAAACAGTTACAAAACACATTAATATCTTTCAAATAAAATATGCAAATTATTCTCTGATAAGCACCTTTTCTATTGTGAAAACTATTTCATTGGCCACATCTTAGTGAAGGTATTAACTCAAGGCAAAAATATGTGCTCCAACAAACAGTGTTTACTTTTAATGCGGAGATGCCAATGTGTACAGACAGAAAGACAGAAAGTAATGCGCCCCAAGGAAGGCAGAGAGAGTCTCCTGAATATCATGGGACCCTTCTCCACAAAAAATTTTAGGTTATAATCATCCTCTCAATTACAATTACAATGATATCTTCAGCAAATATACTCTCACACCTTTAGCAGCACTTCAAATAAGGCATATTGCTTTTCAAAATATGGGGCTCAGTCTTTCTATGAACTTTCTAAGCCCAAATTTTGGTTACCAGTTTTTCTGAAAAGCTGTGATAAATTCCTAGGGCTTTCTGTTTTTCAAGTGGGGGGCAGGGGCAGTGGTAATTTTACAATAAACATTGTAATACTTTTCTTGGTCTGACGACTAAAGTGTCATTTTAGGGGGAAGAAAAATAGACAAAATTTAGGCTGTATTACATTGAAAGGCTATTAGAAGCAGAAGACCATCATCGTGATATATACATTATTGGATTATTGATGCACACAAATAGATACATGCTAATTCAAATTTTGTAATCTTTTGCATTTAAATTATTTCCCCCTGCATCTCCACCCAAATAAGTTTTTCTTCCTTTTATTTTAGACTTACTTTAACAAAAATATAGGAACATATAGAGGCAGAGCTTCCTGACACTGGGTTGAGAAGTAGAAGGCTTTTTACCCTGCATTGGCCAGAGCATATGAAATAACACGTACCTTCGAGACTACCACGTCATCTGCAGGATGCCTGCCTCAGCACTGAGAACAGCACTGCCTAAGTGGTTATTTTTATTACAGTGATGACCAAATTAGAATCACGTGTGCCAATTCCGTCACTTCCAAAATATATTACCACCCAAACACTGAAACTTGATCCCTAATTTCTTTAACAAGGGAATAACCAATACTTTTTGAGAAGCTGTTAAAACTTAATTACTTTGTAATTTAGATTTATATTTTTTATGATCAGTGTTGAAAGTTCATATTAAAACCACTATTAACAAAGAAAAAAAGTATATATATTAAATATTTCATAAGTTAAGAAATAAATAATACTAAAAAATAAATGTCCAAATTATAAATTTGACTTTGCCTTCCCTACTTCAAAATATATATATATTTAATTATGAATTTAGACTTTTTTTCCTTAGATTCTTTGAACATTCTCCATAAAATCCCCAAATTAAAATTACAGAACCAGGGACTCTGGGTTTCAACCACTCATCTTCTAAGTACAGAATTCTTCTTATGCCAAGAAAGACAAATAAATAGAGCTCTCTTTCCATCTAGTTAGAGTTTATGAAGATTTCTGTGATATATTGTAAGGAATCCTCAATGGTTAAATATATTTTTCAAAAAAATAATAAATCTCATATCTGAACACTAAGATAATAAAGTAGGACATTTCTCTCAGTTAATATCTTTAATATTTTTGTCTTGTAGAATATACTATTTTTTTCTCCACCAAAATAACAATATATTTGGAGGTGGGAATATTTATGAATTTAAAAGCACTTTTAAACTCTCAGAGCAGAACCACTACTCTAGTAATACTTGTAATAACATTAAAATAATTTTAAACATTTCCATAAAGAATTAGAGAACTAAGCTCCTTGATTTTCCCTTAGGGGCAAGGATGTCCATACACAATTTCAGAAGCTTCCCTTTTGATATATTAAGCAATGGGAAAAGCTTGCATCAGAGTGGAATTTAGTTTACTCTTCAACAGGGCTCTCACAATGTTCTTAGAGGAATATTAGATAAGCTCACTTAACAATAGCCCTTTCTCCACATATTCTGGAAGGTTCTACAAAGACTATAGACACTCTTTTCTGGTTCTGGAAAATTAAACAAGTCACCTCTTGGTATAATTTTCCAAATGGCTTGCCCTAGAGAATTTATCCTCTTTGAAATATCTTATCCCATAAAGAATAGATGCTCTGCCTTCATAGTATTCCAAGCTTTTGTATGTCTGGGACATAAAAGACTAAGACATGGAATGAGATCTCCAGGTTGCAAAAGCAGAGAAACATATGAAGGGAAATCTGGAGTTAAGCCAAGCAAAAATCTGTAAAATGTGTAGTTGTTGTTTTCCTTCCCTCCCAGGCCTCCTTGCCCTTGCTTGCTCTTGTTTGTCTTCTTTTATAGAAATGCAAGCCTCTCAGCACCAGGATTACCAGCAGGTGTCCCAAAATCTGCCACCTTCAGCCGAGCCAGGAGTGAAAGTTTCATTGGTTGTACCCCTGGTGACGTGAAAGTAAGGCTTCCATCACTTTCTCCTCTTCCAGAGGTACCAGCCATGTCCCACAAGACTGGGTCAAAATGCTGTTATGTTTGATCCTTCTCTCGAACTTCTTGTAATCGTTTTTCTAGGCGATCCAATTTGGCAAGATTTTCCTTCAGCAATTTGCTGTCTGGGACCAGCTGTAAGGCTTTCTCATAATAAGCTCTTGCAGACACATAGTTTCCCTGTGGGAAAAAGAAAGCAAGCAATTATAGTCTAATCCATCAGAAAGTACCCTGAGAGAATGGGGTTACTGGGGAGTCTAAGAAACAGACCCTCTGCCCAGTTTAACACTAGCGTTCTCTTAAGGAAACCTTGCCGGCATGTATAATTTTATCCTTACTCTTTCATACTTTTGGAGAATCCATTTGTTTTAAGTACTAAATCAGCTGGAGAATGTGAAGGATAAGAGCTATACCACAAGGTTAAATGGCAGAAAAACAGGTTTTCAATTCTACTAATGCAGGGTATGAGGCTATCATTTCATAGTGTTCTCATGGGGTTAGCACCGTTCTTTCTCATCACATTAGAGCCATGGCTAGAGATTCGTATTATTAAGACAGGAAGGGGAGAGAGGGAGATGGGAAGGGAAGGGAGGGAAGAGAGAAAAAAAAGCTTTTTGAAACTGAAAGAGTAATGATGAAATAGTTTCGGTAGCCACTATTAGGCCCTTGCTTGAATTCTAATCACCACACTGCTATTTTATCAAACAGAAACTGATAGTGAAGAAGCATGAAAATAAGTCAGCTAAACGAGAATGATCCTTTAAAAACATGTCAGACTCTTCTCAGCTCAAAGTCCTCCAAGGATCCAGTTCATTTGGTATAAAAGCCAAAGTCCCTACAATTCCCTTGAGGGCCCCATGTGATCGGGCTCCTGCAATCTCTCTGACCTCAGCTTCTACCGTTTCCTCACTATTGCTCTGCCCCAGCCACACTGTTCTTCAAATATGCCAGGCACATTTCTACCTCAGGACCTTTGCACATGCTTTTTTCCTGTTTTGTCACATGGCTTGCTCCCTTCAGGTCTCTGCTCAAATATTACTTTAACTTAGGTCTTCCTTAACCACTAAAATTAAAAATTTCAGCCCTCACCCCCTGGAATTCCCTATCTTCTTTATGTCTTTTTGCAGTATATATTGTATTGTTGTCATTGTTAGGTGCCATCGAGTTGGTTCCGACTTATAGTGACCTTATGTACAACCGAAGGAAACACTGCCTGGTCTTGTGCCATCCTCATGATCATTGTTATGCTTGAGCCCATTATTGCAGCCACTCTGTCAATCCATCTCGTTGAGGGTCTTCCTCTTTTTGGCTGACCCTCTACTTTACCAAGCTTGATGTCTTCCTCCAGGGACTGGTTCCTCCTGATGACATGTCCAAAGTATGTGAAGTATGTACATATGTGTATGTGGTGTGGTGTGTGTGTGTATTTATTTATTTGCTGTCTGTCTTCTCCTACTAGAATGTTAGCTCCATGAGGACAGAAATTTTTGTCTATTTGTTCAGGGCTGTATTCCCAGTGCCTAGAACAATGCCTGGCAAATAGGATGCTCTCCATAAATATTTGTCAAATTAATGGATGGATGGATGCATGAATAAATGATGTGAATCTTTAGTTTCACTAGCTGTAACCAATAGTTTCCCTAAGGATCATTTTCAATCCTCCTTGGCAGGAGGATTCACCCAAAGGTCACTCTTTCTTGTGAAGACAACACAAGAAATCAACCAACCAATAAACAAAAAAAACCACAAGCTTGTTCTTCAGTAATAAGATTAGGAAGTAAAATATCTATTAGATGTAAGAAATAAGAAAATAACATTTCAAGTAGCACTTTAGTCTTGACAGTGCATCAAACTGCAAGGAAAATAAGCCACACTAAGCTCTAACAGGGCTTTTGTTTACATACACAAATTTTCTCTGCTGTCCGAGGATACTCCTGATACATATGATTTTCTTTGTGATCGGTAAACTCATGGAATCTAATTTAAATAGACTTACTTAAAGAAACAACAACAAAGGATTCATGATATTCAATAGCTAGATAATATAGTGAGCATATAGTTTCATTTTTAAACACCTATGTTTTTAGTATTCAAATAGTTCAAAAAGGAAATTAACAATAGTTTTTCAATCCTTGGAGAAGGAAGATGGAAAGAGGAAACACAAAGGGGAAACCCAGTCCACATAAAGCTGAATTATTTCTCCTACCTTGATGTGTTGGATTCCCCCCATGTTCATCCAGGCCTGCGCCTGATCTGGATTTAGCTCCACGGCTGCTTTATAGCTCTAAATAAATAAGAAATAACTTTAGGTCAGAAAACAAGAACCCATCTTTAACACTACAAGACTGCAAAAACCACTTTCTTCATATGTGAAAATTTAAATGGTGAATACAATGAACAAGCCACTACTGGTTCACAGGTGACCCCCTTTATTTCTGTTATTTTTCAAAGCGGGTGATTTGAAAGTGGAGGAAACTGAAATGTGTAATTTGCCTGCAGAGCTAACCTTTCAACTTAAAGAGACTGCAGATGCCCACAGGGAATCTAGGTGATTTCTATCATCGTGTAACATTTCCTGCTAGCCCTGACCTGCAAGAAAATAGTGCCTTTTGGCTTGTGTCATTGTAAATGGAGTTTGTAAGGAAAATCTTTTTATAATCCTAGAATCTTAGAGTAGTTTCCTGAACAGTTAACCCTGGTGCAGTATTCCCTTTTACAGTATGGCTGATCTGGTTATTCAGCCTATGCTTCGATACTTGCAGTGACAGAATGCTTAGTATTTCTTTAAGGACGTCTTTTTCACTAGACCACCACAGTTTGTTGTACTGTGGTGGCTTGCATGTTGCTGTCGCGTGGGAAGTTATGCTACTGGTTATTTCAAACCTGTCCATGGTGGACAGGTTTCAGTGGAGCTTCCAGACTAAGACAGACTAGGAAGAAAGGCCTGGTCATCTACTTTCACAAATCAGCCAATAAAAAGCTTATGGACCATAACAGAATATTATCCAGTATAGTGCTGGAAGATGAGCCCCCTAGGTTGGAAGGAATTACACAATAGCAACAACAATGGACTCAAACATACCAACAATTACGAAGATGGTGCAGTACTGGGCAACGTTTTGTTCTATTGTACATACGGTTGCTATGAGTCAGAGCCTACCTGACAGCAGATAACAGCAATACTTCATTAGAAAGTCTTTATTTTAATTCTGTCATATGAAAGATCTTCAAATGTTTGGAGAGAGTCTTCTATTCCTTAAGTATTTTCTTTTGTCTGAATAACATGTATCTCATTAAATGTAATATCTGGGAGATGCACTTTTAGTATTTTGTAGGTTGTTTCGCATCAAAGGTACTGACTATGATACCTCTGCATCACCGCTGTCAATTTTATGAGTGATCACCATAAATAAAGCCAAAGGCTGAGAGTGTTGCCTCCAATTACAAAGCTAAATATCTGTTCATATATTTTAATGTTTCTTGGCATTTTCATTAGAAAGAATCCAACTGAACAGATCCATACAGTAACCAGAATCTGTGTCATCTGTCTTCTACTTCAGTTTTAGAAGAAAGAAGCAAATGGCGAGAACTTACACTCTTAAAAGGCTCCAAAAATAAACCTGTGGGGTATGTATCTTGGTATTAGTTTGTATCAGCAGACAGTCTAGTGTATTACAATAGCTGAGAGAGGAAAGAGGAGAGAAGAGGAAAAGAGAGGAGAGAAAAGAGCCGATCTGAGGCCACACTGTGGAATGCTTTGAAGGTCAAGTTAAAGGTGATAATTCAGAAAATAATGCAGAAGTATTGCAGGACTCTGAATAATCAAAAGTCAGAGGCTCAATTATATATATAAAAAAAAAAAACTTAAAACATTATGGCAACTAATCAGTGCATTCACTCCACAAATATGCCAATGATCTTAGAGTATACTCTATATGTTTCACCAAAGACTGAGGTAATATTAATTTTAACCCATGAATTTAATAACCTTATCTTTTTAAGTGTTTATACCTCAAAAGCTTTGTCAAGAAGGTTCTGCTCTCTTAGTTGGTTTCCTTTTGTGAAAAAAAGTTCAGATATGACTTTAGGGTCCTTTGGTTTCAGCTGCAGAGCCTGGTCTATAGCATTAAGTGCCTACAGAGATTAAAAATTAAGATACAATAACAGCAGATTAGACAAGGAAAAACTAATTTAAGTGATAAAATTTATTCTTCTTGTTCCTGTGTATTAGCTATCCTAGGATGTCAAAAACAGTGGGGTGAGAATGGAAACACATTCCTTTAGTCTTCCTGACTTTCTCATTATGAAACAAAGCGGTCCTGACAAAATAGTTTTCCTATATTTCAGGTTCCCCATTTGTATATTGGTGACAATAAAATGTCCCTGACCACTTCACAGGAAGGTTGTGTGATACAGTTGAAAGAAACCAAGATTTAGGATCAGACTACTTGATCTGGCATGTTTATCTGAACCACCCAACAGCCTCTTCTCAGGTACCCAGAGGCCATTCTGCCCCCTAGAGTCCACTGCCAACACTGCAGCCAAAGATCCCTTCAGAGCACAAATTGGATCACGTTGCTCTTCTCCTTAAAACCCCAAAACTTCTCCCAGAATAAGGAACAAAACCCTTGGTCTGGCCCACTAGCCTTGTGTAGTCTAGTCTACACTAATCTCTGTGGCTACATCTCACACTGTGCTCCTGCTGCCTCATGCCCATCCCTCAGACAGGACACTTGCTTCTGCCACAGGGCCTTTGTGTGTGCTGTCTCCCTGCCTGGAATGCTCTTCCTTGCCTTTTTGCCTAATTGACTCCTATTCCTCAACCAGCCCTTACATCCACACCACTCCACAGGGAGACTGCCTCCCAGACTAGTCAGGTCCCTTGATTATATGCTCTTTAGGGATCTTATCACTCTTCATGACCTCACTGAGCACAGCTGGGCTTTTATACTTGTTTTATGATTACTTGTTAAATATCTGTCCCCTTCTTTAGACTGTAAGCTCCATGAGGACAAAGGCAGTAATTTTTTGTTTTTTCATAACATTTTATTGCTGGTGCCTACCACAGTGTTTGGCACATAGCAGATATTCAACAAATATTTTTTAAACCAGTTCATGAAATTTACTGGTTTTATGACTTTTAAACTGGAGATAAACAGTAACAGCTGCAACACAGTGTCACTGATCTGACTTACAGGGCTGTTATAAGGATTAAATGAGACAATATATTAGAGGGAATATGGAAATCATAAAGCATACAAATATTAGTCTTCATTATTACACAGTTAGCTGAAAACAAACGGAGATAATACCACATAAAATCTTTAGACCAAGGACGAGCCATGTTATTATTTCAAGGGGGCATCTAGGAGTTAAGAGAGTATCCATAAAAAGCTTTCATAAGATAGGCTATGCCAACTGATGATAAAATCAAGACTGCTCAGCCTTGTAAATGGCAAATTGGAGTATCATTTAGGAGCATATCGTTTCCTACTCGGGAATTCAAACAATGTCCTCCTCTACCTTGTGGTGGTGTTCCTGCTTGCTGTAGATTGCTGACAGAAGGCGATAGCATTCAAGGCATCCGGTCTCCTCTGACACAATGTGATTGGTCATCTTTTCAGCTTCTTTCATCTGACCCATCACAGCCAAAACCTGAGCCTGTGAAACACACAGACCTTGGCTTAGAAGACATTTGTTATTGCCTTATCAAAGCATCTCCGAATAGAGGTTTTCAGAAAACAGTTCTGACAAAAATGTTTAGCATCTATTTAGTGACTGACAGAGAGGGCTGAATCACCACACTTTACAGGTTTCAATTTTGTTTATTTAGCTACGTACGTGCATTTGTGTGTAAATGGCAGAAACACCAAAAAATGTCCAATAAAATGGTTTGTGCCCTTTAAAAAAAGTTGACTAAATGTCAGAATATAAATAATTTCCTACGGTTTCAAGAGAAACCAATTCAACTGCTTCTACATGTATAATTCAGTGACTTTGATTACAATCTTCAAGTTGTGCAACGTTCTCAGCCTCCCTTTCTGAGTTGTTCCTCCCCCTTTAACATAAACTCACTGCCCCCGAAGGTTCCTATCTAATCTTTTGAGTTGCTGTTGTCGCTCTGATCCCATATAGATAGTTCTTAAAAGAGCATAATGTTCAAGGCAGACTTTTTTTTTTTACTAGTTAAGCTAGAATATTGTTTGGTTTTAAGAAGACTTCAGGAGATATTTTTGGTTTAAGGTTTAAAGATTATCACAGGGAAATCGTTTCGGGGGTTCGTTTTATTAATATTCATAAAATGGATATACTATAGCATTCTAGTTCATTTTGAGGTCTAATGAGTGCAGCTGTCTACGTTATGTGTTGTGCTTATGTTTCCAGCTTCATTTTCCCTAGTTCTTCTACTTACCAGTGCCAAGCGGAGTTCTCTTTGAGAAGGCTGAAGTGCCGCAGCTTCCCGGTAAATCTGCAAAGCCTCTTCGTAACGGTTAGTGTTGTAATATAGCGCTCCCAACGGTGAGAGAATCTCAGCTTTACGTGCCACCTGCAGTGCGCTGAGTTTTGAGAAAAGTAAACTGACACTTTTCTTTTAGTAGGTTCATTTCCAAAGTTCTAAGCATAGATTTAGGGAGGGCTGCCCATGGTTTGAGATTCTGCTCCAACATGGCTTTTTTTTTAAACTATCAAGATGAAGGTTTAGATAATGATCATGATGCCATCCTCTGAATGTAAAGTGTCTCTAGTGAGTTAGCAACATGGAAAATGAGCCCCAAGCGTCTTTTCCATTAATGTTAATAGACTTGTTCCAATGTATGGATAGTCTTTCATCTAGTCCCACTTTTAATGTTGCTATTTTGTTCAGAAAACAATGGACTAACTAAAGTTGGAATTAAACTCCAACCCTGGCTTAGCACTGTTTTAACCAGCAGGCAAAAAGTCATTAACTGGGATACCATTTATACTGCTGTATTATTCTCTTTGAAGATGAGAATCCGTATTACATGGATTGGCAAATTTTGCTAGCATACTAAGAGCATGTTTGTTCCAATTAACTAAAAAATTGATGAGCAATTAATTGCTTAGACCTCTGAGCAACTTACAAAGTGAAAAAAAGGAGCTTTACCGTTTGTACCATTCTTCAGCCACACTGTTCTCTCCCAATGACCTGTAGAGTCTTCCCAGGTTCACCATGGCCACGTGATGACTTGGGCTAAGTTTGATAGCCTGTTGGTAATGAGCCACTGCCTTCTCTGGAGAGCCTGTAACCAGTGATGGGTTGGTAAGAGCAGAACATGCTTTATCATAAGATACTTGAACTCTTCACTCTCCCTTCTGACTTACATCATTCTTCCTCCTGATTACACAGTCATACCATCAGTTATTCTCTTTGTAAATTAGCTTGCATTTTGGCTTCTTTTTGCCACTAACTTTTGACTATTTCACTATTGATTTCCACTTCTAAAGCAATTTATAATAATAATTATAATAAAGCAGCAATGAAAACTAAAACCAATTTCTTTTATTATTTGTCATAAGTTGTAGTCAAAGTGTTTTTTGGCCATTGCCACAGATAATAGCTATTTTGAGATTATCAGTCACTGTTATTTATCCAAGATATTGCTGCCTCTCATTATGCAAAAAATAGAATTCGTGATTATTGAAAGAAAACCATTCTGAATCAGTTTCTAAGGACCTGTCTCAATTACTATATTGAAACAGAGTAATTGAAGAATTGCTTTAAATAAGTATGTGTCAGTTGTATCTTAAAAATTTCTTTTCAAATCATACATTTTTTAAGTGGTATTTATTTAATGGGACTTTAAAATACAGTAATAATGCCCTCTTGCATTTGTCTAATGCATTATATATTTTAAAATACTTGTATTTGCATGATCACATATGATCTTTGCAGATATTTTTGATACTATTTAGTTGCCTTTCGATATCACTTAGCTGCCTCTTGGGATTTAAGAGATATCAAAAAATAAGCCAAGTTACCACTTTACAGATATAGAAGCTAAAGTAGAAAGACTTTAAGTGATCTGACAAAGATCTCAGGGCATGTGAGGGTTAATGCTAGAACTAGAATCAAGTCTCTCTCAAACTTCCCCCAAAGAAGCTTCCTAGTGAAATTATATCTAGGTGAGTGAGCTTTAGAACAGTCTAGAGTTCTAAATGAAATAGAATACTTATTATCTGCACAACAATATTTAAAAATGCACATTCTTTGAATACAAGTGTGACTCAGAGGCGCCTAGAGAGACTACAAATCTGTATATAGGTCACTGGGAATTGGGGAGATTTCACAAGTACGAAAACACAAACACAAGAGAAAACATAATAGTAGAAACATATAAGGAGTAGTCAATGAGCTTTTTTTGGCGGGCGGGGGTTGGTGGGGGAAGGAGTTTGATTGTTGTTGAAGTAGAATGAAGAGGGCTAGACCAGGAGAGCTGAAGGTCTCCTGATCTTTATACCTTTATGACACTTAGTCTGTTATTATGTTGCTAATACACCAGCAGGTGGCACTACACGACAATTTTACATGCAGAAACAAAGCTTCCTAGGCGGATCAGAGTAAAAACTGATATTCTAGAAAACAGACAAGCTTCAAATATCCTTGAAAATAAAAACCCTTTCAAGCACTTAATATTGAAAAAATACTTAAAACTGATTTTACTGCAGGGCAGCTAGTTTAATAGTCAACAAGAACAAAGTCGTACTTTTAATTAAATTCATGTATCTTTCTTTTCATGATTTATAAGTATTCATTACATGCCAATAGCATCTAGAGCTCTGCACCAATCAGAAAGAAAACAGAATCTCTGCCCAGTTAAGTTTTGCATTGAATAAGATGGGGTGAGTGTATTATATAGCATCTGTCATACGGGAGCACTCTGTCAATTATAATAACATCATTTCCATTATGTACATCAAGTAAGGAACAGTGAAACAATTCTGGAGGCTGTTATCAATCGTGGAAAAGCATCTACCATGCACCATGACTAGATTTAGATGCAGGTTCTGTATCATTGGAGAGAAACATTTCATCATCAGAGATTTATAAGCTTTTATCAGTGATATTCAAGGAAGGCTGCTACTCATTAAATCAAGGCTACTTCCTGCCACCTGAGGAGTTTTCCTTAGCGATATGATCATAGGAACTGGGAAGATTTTACTGAACTGAGCTTGAAGATTTGAGAACTCAGCCCCGAGGGACAATGCAACTGTCAACAGTGTGAACTTCTTGCCAAGCCCAGTGAATTTTATTTCTGAGGCATTATTTGGGTTACTACCATTCTGCCTGACAGATAGTATTATCTAATCTCAACAGAACAGGTTTTCTTTAATTTCACTTACCAGTATCAACTAAGAAAACCCCATAGTTGTTGTGTAAATCTGAGCTGTCTGGACAGTTCTTTATTCCAGCCTGGTAGACCTCCTCAGCTTCCTTGTATCTTTCCTTTAAAGAGAACAAAGAAAAATAAATTTGAAATTAAAAAAATAATAATAATAAAATGAATAATGGGAGCAGGAAAACCAGGAAGAACTTACCAAGCACCCATTATGCAACAGGTACAGAGATAAAACAGATGAATTAAAGTCAATATTAACTATGTACAAATGCTACAATTCATATCTGTGCTTAGTTACGTTAAAGTTAACAAGCTGATGTTTACTGCAAAGGGACATCTGAAGAATTTGGACCTATACAATATGCTCTACAGTTGGAGGCCTCAAAATAGTTGTTTGAATGGGATGCTCTTCACACCGGCTGCCATATCTTCTATGGACTATTTTCTAATTGCCCTGGTCTTCTACTCGTCTGAAGATTCAAGACCTGTTACCTGTAGTTCTCTCACCTTACTTAATGCACTCCATCTTGTATTAGAGTTATTAATATGCACATCCTGTCTCTATTGAGTTCTTTGAAGAGAGCATGACATCTGATTAGCTCACAATGCCTGGGACCAGAATACACAATGGCTACCTGCAGGATGGATATGGCCCAAAGGAATGTTTAGACCAGCTCAGTATTTAAGCAAATCTTAATTAGTTGTCTCCATCGGGAGAGTTCACATAAAATTCCAGTTGAAAAACTGGTACCACCAGAAGCCATTCCTGTAATAGCAGCAGCTAGCATGGGCTGATTATCTACTGTCCTCCTTAGACAGGGCATATACTGTCCAGTTTATGGTCCTGGACAACTGCTTACTTAAGTTACTCGTCTGCATGCATAGGCAACTGAATCTGTTACTCTCTGCCTAGACCTGGGTGGTCAAATAAGGTAGCCAGTAGCCATATGTGGCGACTGAGCACTAGATGTGTAACTGCTCCAAATTTCAATGTGTAAAATACATACCAAATTTAGAAGTCATAGTACATAATGTTAAATATCTCATTAATATTTTTTATAATGAATACATGTTGAAATGATAACATTTGGATATACCGAGTTAAATAAAATATTAAAATGAATTTCACAAATTTCTCTTGATTTTTTAAAATGTGGCTATTAGAAAAGTAAAATTCACATATGTGGCTCACATTCCATTCCCACTGGCCCGTGTTGGCCTAGACAATGCGTTGCACAGAATTGGTGTCCAGATGAATGATGCTGAAAACCACTTTGCTTCCTTTTTGGCCAAGTTGCCCCGACTGTTCCCAGTATCTATAACCTACTTAAGGACTTTTGCACAGCATGAAAAAATACTTCCTTTCTCTCCTAATTTGACTTATTTGTATTGAGACACACACAAACTAAGACAAACTAAGAATATGTTCCCCGGCACTATTTACTGCTCGTCATACTCCAGCCAGGATCAACAACCAATTCACTTTCATAGTTATTTGCACGGCATCTGCAACGTCCTTGGCCATTTCAAACCACCCCCCCTCCATTCATTAATACATTTCTGGGGAGAAGTTTTGAGCTAGCAGACTTGTCCAAAGAAGCAGAGCAGTACTCCTGCCATTTAAAAGGCATGGCAGTGATAAGCACGAGCAGAACTGAGCCCATCTGCCATTGCTCCATGAGCTGGGTTCAATAGCGAGACCTTTACTCATTTGCACTACAGCCCATCCAAGTCAGGGTGAAATCAGGTGTTCTGGCAGACCTAACTTTATTTTTCCTCAAAAGAAAATCATGCTCTCTGGGGGGACTGATGTGCAAAGTGTGGCTCCACACACTGAGTCCCTATCTTCTTATTAAACACACTTTAATAATTCTGCATCAACTTTTAGATGTCAAACTACAGGTTCTTCACAGTCATCTGAGATCATCTTATCACATTTTCTTTTATAATGTAGAAAGTAAAATCTAATTAATTCATCAAAACTATGCAGGTTTAACCAATGCCAGACTCAAACTGAACTCCCAGTGACCCTACAGGGCAGAGTAGAACTGTCCTGTACAGTTTCCAAGGCTGTAAATCTTTATAGAAGCAGATTGCCACACCTTTTTCCCAAGGAGTGTGTGGTGGGTTCGAACCACCGACCTTTCAGTTAGCAGCTGAGCTCTTTAACCACTGCGCCACCAGGTCTCCCTTTTAACCAATTACCCATGAATAAACAAACAATTTCACAGTTTCCTAGTACTGTCCCAAAGGTCAGGAAGAATGAAATGATTCAGCATAAAGCATACGGCAGCTTTTTCTTTAATATGCTCTAATTATGGACGTTTTCCATAATGTTATCCCAAGTTACTGCTACTGATGAGCATCCAACCAGACACATAAGAAGGGATGTAGAGCTACAATGAATTTAACAATTCCTCAGACATGACACCTTAAGCCTGGGAATAAAAATGTGTTAGATATCTGTACTGAGTGCTAAGCAATAAGGCAAGAAGCCTAAAGCTGATGTGACCCACAAAGGTAAGCGATGCGCAGCCCTCTGTAGAGTGACCAGTGCCATCTCTTTGAATCCACACTTCTAAGTATCATAGGGAACGTGATATGGTATGAATTTGGCAAATTTCACTTATTTGAATTACAAATCCGTAGTCCAACAGAAATGGAGACCCATGTTTCTAAAAAATGTGTCAAACTCAACAAATTGTCAAATTTAAAAAAGTTAGAGATAAAGAGAGAAAACTTTAGAACCTACTGAAGGACTGACAACTGTGTATGTGTGTGTGGAGACAAGAAGAACACAAATTGTGTAAAATTCCAATTGAGTTAATATTTAGAGAGCACCATTGGATATTTATTAATTTATCCATTCATTTACCACACATTTATTGCAATGGCTATAGGAAGTAAGGCACAGTGATGATGAACTGGGCTCCAGTCTTGGCTACATGGATTTGAATACAAGCCCTACCATTTACTATCTATGCGATCTTATATACCTTCTCCATTCCCCAATTGTAAAATAGGGATAACAGTAGCTATCTTATAGGGTTGTTGTGAGGATTAAACGGATTAAAACATACAAAGCACTGAGAACTGTAGAACTTAGAAAGCACTAAAGCAGCTTAGCACATAGTCAGCACTTGATAAATATTAGCCATTACCCTTATTATGATTACTAGGAGTACTGCTAGTGCTAACATTACTAACACTACTAGGAGATAGATGCCAAAGATATGGAGATCAAAAAACATAGTACTTCTATTCCAGGAGCTCAAAGACTAATGAACTAACAAACATGGCCCAATGTGATCAGTGTATAAAAGAAGTAAGTGCAAGACGTCTTGCGCTCAAGTGGTCCATGGCCTAGAGTTGTTACTGTGGCCAGGACATGTGAGTTATCATGACCATCTCCATGTGGCATTTTAGCCAATGGTTTCCAGTCCCTCTCTTATAAAATGTCTTTAAGTAACTGTATGAGAAGTAATTAACTGGCTCAAGTGTCTTTTTATTTTTCTTAGTCACCTTCTAATAAAGAAGTCAGTAAAATTTTAATATCTCAGAGGTAACCAGAGGAAGAATAACTTGGGTTATGCAAAACTAGGTAATTAATTCCTGAAAATCTCAAGTTTCCTGCATTACTATTCGACCAGTATTGGTGTTTTACACACTACTGTCATTTTTGTTTTCAAAGAATCAAATTTTCTATTTTACATGGCACTTTTAAAAAAATAATATTTTATTGTGTTTTTGGTGGAAGTTTACATAGCAAGTTAGGCTCCCATTTAACCATTACAACACATATTGTTCAGTGACATTGGTTAAATTTTTCACAATGTTTTAACATTCTCATTAATTCTTTTCTGGATGTTTTGCTTCTAGTAATCTTGTTTCCCTGACCCCTAACTCTTTCATCTTTGTTTTAAAGTAATTCTTGTCCATCTGGTCTTGTATAAATGATTTTCTAAAGCTGCACAGTATTCAGTGGTAATATTCTTTATTTTATGAGCCAATCTGTTGTTTAGCTAAAAGGTACCCTCAGGGGGCAGTTTCGGTTCAAAGTTGATGGAGTATCTCAGGACAATAGTCTTGGGAGGGTCCTCTAGTCTCAACCAGTCCAGCAGGCCTGGACTTTTTAAGAATTTGAGTTCTGTTTCACATTTTACTCCCCTTGTGTCAGGATCCATCTATTCCAGCCCTGATCAGAATGGTTGTTAGTAGTAGCCAGGCACCATCTAGTTCTTTTGGTCTCAGGGTACATGAGGCTGTGGTTCATGTAGACTGTTAGTCCTGTAGATTAGTTTCTTCTCTGAGTCTTTGGTTTCCTTCTTTCTCTTTCAATACAGACAAGAAGAGACCAGTAGCTGTATCTCAGATGGCCACTTGCAAGCTTTTAAGATCCCAGATGCTACTCACCAAACTAGGATACAGAACGTAAACTTTGTGAACTATGTTATGCCAAATGACTGAGTTGTCCCACAACACTATGGTCCTAAGCCTTCAAACCCAGAAATCCAATCCCACGAGGTGTTTGGTTATGTCTAAGAATTATCTGTAACTGTGCCCTCTATGTGCTTTATTACATATATGAACATACATGCATATGCACATGAATATGCATATATACATGTGGCTACGTGTATATATGCACTCATATATACATACATATGCATACATACATACATTTGTAACCACACATATACGTTTTGGTTGTTGTTGCTTACACGACACTTTTAAAAGACACTAAATTGCCATGGTAAATTAAAGAACCAAATATTGAAATTACAATGGATGAGATTTTCAGCAGCAGAAAAAAAATCACAGAATATTAAAGCTGGAAGAAGCATGAATAGACATTAGTTCACCACCAAGAAGCCTTGGTGGCACAGTGGTTAAGCACTTGGCTGCTCATCAGAAGGTCAGCGGTTCAAACGCACCAGCTGCTCCACAGGAGGAAGATGTGGCAATCTGCTTCGGTAAAGATTACAGCCTGGGAAACCCTATGGGCAGTTCTACTCTGTCCTACAGGGTCAGTATGAGTAGGAATTGACTTGGTGGCCATGGGAACGGGAGTTCACCACTATTTTTAACAAATAAAGAAACTAGGGTG